ATGGATGGGAGGATGGACAGATGGGTAGATGGGTGGGTGGTTGGATGGATGGATAGATGGGTGGGTGGATGGATGATGGGTGGGTGGGTGGATGGGTGGGTGGATGGATGGATGGATGAATACATGGGTAGATGGGCAAGTGGATACAGAGAAGAAAGGAGATGGATAGAAAAATGAGTGGATGATGGAACACACAGTCCCAGTGGTCCTTGGTAGCACTGGAGAAAGCATGCAGTGGAGTTGAGGAAAGGCAGCCTTTGATCTCCATAACCTCCCCACCTTACCCCAGGTGGAGCCAGGGCAGATGGTCAGATTGGACAGCTGCAGCTGTGCTATGAGCCAGCCTCAAGCTGCACAGACAGGAACCCCTCTACCTGCTCCAAGTCAATGCACTTCAACCCCCAAGAGGAGTGAGTTTCTAGGTTAGGGGCACTGGTGCTATCCTCCCTCATCCACTCCTGAGGCCCCACCTCTTCCCCAAGTCCAGCAGGAAGGGCTCTGTGTGTCTGGGAGAACGAGGAGCCATTGGCCACCCAAAGAAGCTGCTGGTTACATCACCACAAAGCTGAGTGAAGAGGGAGCTTGTCTTGGGGAGTAGACAGATCCAGGACTAGAAACCAGAGTCAACACCGCCAACTTCCCAGGCTGTGACACGGGCCAAGGCCTGCTGTCCTCCGAGCCACACTTTTTGCCACTATAGAATGGGCTGACCGCTGTGTGGGGTTCAGTGCATCAGGTCCTGGGCTGGCGTGACTGGCTGCTCTCTGTTGGGGATGGGGCTGTGCAGGCACAGGGAGAGGACTGTCCTTTCCCATGGCTGCTTGTAAAGGTGTTTGGGGCAACAACAGCCAGCCCAGGGCCAGTGCAGGATGAGGCTTTGACCAGGGGAGCTTGTGGCAGGGGCAGGGTGGGGACTCATAGATCCTGAGCTGAGAGAGCCAGGCCAGCCCCAAGGATACCCAGCCATTGCAGCCACTTCCTGGCGCTCTGTGGCCACCTGGCCTCATCTCCCCTGTCCTCTGTGGATAGGTACCTCTCGGCAGTGTATGCTAAGTGGGTGTTTCCCACCATGGAGGGCCATCACTGGAAGGGAAAGTCTGGGCCCTCAGCTCACTGAGGTCCATTCAGCTGTGATCACCCTCCTTGTGGTCACAGCACCCCTTGTAGCTCTGGGAGAGCCCAGCCTTCGATAAGCCACTTCCCTGAGCTTGGCCATGCGGCCCTGATCACCCTCGCCCACCCTCAGGCCCTCCTGTCTGTCTGCGAGAAGTCCTAAAACATGGTGTCACCCCCAGGTGTGCCTTGTCCCTTTCCTAGGTGCTGGGGGGTCCCTCTGGCACCAGGCCATCCAGCATGAGGCATGACTGTGTGTCCTCCCTTCTTTGTCCTCCCAGAAGCCCCCCAGCGCCCACACCATGAAGGAGGAGGTCTTTCTCCGGCGCCGCTTCTCACTGTGTCCACCGGCCTCCACACCGCAGAAGACTGACCCCCGGAAACTCACGCGGAACCTGCTCCTGGGCTGCGAGAATGAGCTTGGCCCAGTCAGCCCAGGTTAGTGTCAGCTGCAGACGGCTAGGTCTCCCCACTCTGTGGCCATCATGTGACCTCAGGAGGTCCCATCCCCCATGCCCTCACAACCAGTAAGGGTGACACCCTGCTCTGCTCACGTCCCCACACTGGGGCTGTGTGGGTCTGATGGACAAAGGATTCGCAGAGTGTTAAAGTGCTGGCTTCTGTGGGCCCAGGTGAAGCACATCTGGCCATGGAGGATGACAGGGCCCTCATAGCCCATCTTCAGAGGGCAGCTTGTTTAACTCGGGGGGTAGTAAGGTGCAGTCATCCCAAAGATCCCAGGGACAGGCAGCTTGAGCCTCAGCTCAGCTCTCCTGGCTGAATGACTCCAGGCCAGCCACTAGACCTTAGTTTACTCACCTGTGAAATGGGGACAATATTAGTAACTATGCCCAGCTGCCAAGAGGTCTCTGTCTCTGGGAGGGAACAGTTCAGAGCAGGCCTGCTGTGGATAAAGTGCTGAGCACCAGAATGCATCAGGGGGAATCTCCCCACGCCTGATATTCTCCAGGCTTCCAGCCGTATCACCCCATTGTCCACACAGGTTCCCAACCAGCGAGTCTGAGCTGAGTTCTTTCTGCCCTATTGTGACTGCTGACCCTCAAGAACCCAGATCTTCCTTACTGGGGCCTAGGGGGAGGGGAGGTGGGTGGTGCTGGCCCCGGGAGATTCCAGCTTGATTATCCATCTCCTGCCACCCGGTGTGGGGCCAGGAAGAGGCCCTAACCTTCCTGCCCAGTTACTGGTGCTGCCCTGGGTGAGTGGGAGGGCATCGCCCCCCCCATCATCATTATTTCAGCCGCTGGTGACCACCCATCCAGAGTCTCAGCCAATGGATGGGAAAACTGAGGCCCAGAATGGGGAGGGTCTTGTGGACAGTCACATGATACCGGACACAGGAAAACTTGCAATAAATCCTGTGTGTTTATTCACCTGGTGTGTGGCACTCGCAGGAGCAGGGGTGGGGAGAGGAAGGACAGGTCCCAGTTGCGGTCAGTTTCCAGGGGCTTGGTTCTCAGAGCAACTCGCTCTGGTGCGGGGCCCAGATAAGGCCGGGGCTTTCTCCCAGGAGTGGAGCAGCAGGTCCCCAGGGCAGGGGCAGGCAGGCGGCCATGCCCAGGCTGCACAGGGAGGAGCAGCACTGGCCTGTTCCTGCCAGGCACCTCCAACATCAGGGGCTCCGAGAGCCCGGTGTCCTTCCTGCCAGGAAGCAGCACTGCACATGTGGGCTCTGCCGGCTGCAAGCCAGGCCCCCAAGACAGCACTGAGAGCGCCTGATGAGAGCCCTGCTGACTCCACTGAGGCTTGGGTCAGGGCACAGTTGCTGTGTGCAGAGACCTGCAGGGGCGGAGTCACACAGCCAGGCAGCCACCTTCCTGGAGACAGGGCTGCCGTGGCACCTAACTGGCTGCTGCTGGCAGATCTTTGGCAGAAGCACCTCCTTAGGTCCCTGCCTTGGTTTTTTTGGGAGAGAACCACTCCTAGGCCTCCAGGGGTGTGGTCTGCAGGCCTCCCAGCTGGTCCTGTAGGTGTCTGTCCTCACTCCTCCCACCCGCCTCACTCCCCGCCTGGCACTGGTCCATGTCCTACGGCTTTGGCCACCTCACCTTTGAGGCTGCTGTGCTGACCACTGGCCCACAAACCCCGGGAGGCAGGCAGAAGTGGCCCACGGGTGGGGGTCAGGCCTCCTCTAAGGCCATCTCCTGCTCTTCCTGCCCATAACTCAGCCTTAGAAACTGGTTTTAGGGCAAGAGGAGCCTGGGCAGTGGATCCATTTCCCTGGGCTCGAACCCAGACAGTCAAGTTTCCCTCCTTCCTCTTCAGCCAGCTGTGGTGAAACCAAGCATGTCATCTAACCACCTTCCCTGTACCCCAGGTCCAGGACCCTGAGAACAAAGCATCCAGCACTTCAAGTGCTATGTAGTGCAGCACTTCAAACCCATGTGCCCCGGCACCTGGCTGCCACATTCTTCCCCCTGGGGAACATACAGACCCTGAATTACACACCACACCAGTCCCCGGTTGCCCTGGTTTCCGCTGGCCCCTCCCTAGTTTCTTCCTGTGGTCATATAAACCCAGCCAGAGCTCTTGGGTCCCTCCCAAGGGTGAGGCTTGCTGACATCTGCTAGTGTCCACAGCCCCCACCACCACTGGCTATCTTCCTGCCTTGCCTGCAGAGCCCGAACCACTATGTCCCTGCCCTCACCCTGACTGCTTTCTTTCAGGGAAGGATATGGAGCCCCATGGCCCATCGCTGCCAAGGGAGGAAGAGCCCCCAACCCCTGGCTCTGCCACAAAGGTGCCACCGGTAAGAGCCCAGCATGGTGGGACCAAGGGGCAGGGAGTATGGCTTGAGATAGCAGGCCACCCATCCAACCTGCCATTTCCTGCCTGGTCCAAGGAACCCCATATCCCAGATTATGGAACTTGGTGGGGGAGGGGCACTAAATGAAGGACAGTTAGAGTTTGGTTATTTTTTTAAAGCCACCTTCTTGGAAAGAACCAGGGGGCCTGGGAAGGGAGGTAGGCTGCTGGGGCCGTGGGGGGTTCAAGAGAAAAACTCACTCATGAAAGGATCCCAAGTCCTCTTGTTGCAGGGAGACTCCTAAGGCATGAGGCATGCTGGGCACACCTTCCCTAGGTGCCCCAAGTTCTGGAGGAGTCCATGCATCTTCCTGGGTGGGAAGGCCCTGGGTCCAGGGGTGGTGGGAGTGAGGAAGACCCTCCCTTCTCCCAGAGGGTCTGGGGAGGCCATGGTCCCAATGCTGACCGTGCCCAGTCCAGATGACACGCTGGGGGTAATGGAGCTAGAGACCGTCCTTACCTTACCTGTCCACTACAACTCCGTGTGACCTTGAGTGTCACCTGGCTGATGTCTGGCAAATGTCTCATCATTCAGATCTAGTTCCATCATTATTCCTCCACATCTCAAAGATTTCTTCCTGGCAGAGCCCCACCAGGATTCCCTTCCTGTGTCCTTTCTTCCTAGAATGTTTTTATTGGGATAACCAGGTATCAAAGAGAAAGAGAAAGGTCCGTTCACATCACTTTTATTGCAGTATATTGTTGTAGTTCTGTTTTACTATTAGTTACTGTTAATCTCTATGGCTAACTTACAAATTAAACCTTATACAAGTGTACTATAGGAAAGCACACAGTATATGCTGTGTGATCATAATACATAGTGAATGCTGAAATTAAAAAAAAATTTACAGTAGAAGATACACTGCCATTAATCACCCTCAAAATTCTTTCCCTCACCTTCAACATAGTTACCCAGTCATCCTTGGCCCTTTCTGAAGCAGTTCTGAAAGTCCTTGTTCATGAGTATCTTCACAAGGTGTGATTTTTAAAAAAGGTGGTGACTGCTGCTACCCATGCCATTCAGTGGAAAGACAGGCTCATATAAAGGTGATGGATGTCCATATCCACCTTATTCACTGATACCATGTGACTTCAAGCTCTTCCCCAAAGTTGAAATGACCATAAAAGGCAAACATTTTTTAACTGATTTAGAACATCAAAGTAGCCACCATAGCCCAGCTAGAGACACTCATGAAAGAGGACTTCCAGAATGCTTCAGAAAATGGCAGGAACAGTGGGATAAGTGTGGTCAAGGTGAGGGGGAGTACTTCAAGGGGGCTTAATGGCAATGTGTCTTTTATTGTAATAAATTTGTTTTAATTTAAGCACTTACTGTATTTTTGGATCGTACTTCATATATTCATTAGTTTGGCTACCATCCACTGTTCCAGGTGTCTGCTGGGAATCTTGGGATGTTCTCCCTGCAGATATGAGAGGCAAGGACGCTGTCCAGGAGCGCAGAGCAAGCAGGCAGGCTCCTTCTAGAAATAACCAGACAGTCAGAACCTTAGGTTCCCTGGGCCCGGTCCCTGCTGCAGGGACTCAGCATTGTTGTCCCAGTGCAGAGACAGCCACAGGCTACACCACAGGAGGTGAAGGACCTGGCTTCATGCCAAGAAAACTATTTTTGGACACTGAAATTTGAAATTGATATAATTTTGATGTCTCACAAAGTATTATTCATCTGATTTCCTCTCAACCACTTAAATTGTGGGACCCATTCTAGGTGCATAAGTATATAGCAATAGACAGTGGTGGCGCACGTAATCCTAGCATTTGGGAGCCTGAGGCAGGAGGATCATTGCGAGTTCAGTACCAGCCTGGGCTACAGAGTAAGCTCAAGGCCAGCCTGAACTGCATAGAGAGACCCTGTCTCAAAAAAAAAAAAAAAAGGAGGGATCCAGGCCATAATGTGCCACACCTATGCGTATGGTCTTCAGACAAGATTGTGTGTCCTGGCGGTCCCCATCCCCCAGAGCCAGGGTGGGAGGTCCCCACTGCACACCTCCCCTTTGCATGGCGTCCCTGCCCAGAGGTCAGCCCAATTGCAGTGGCCAAGGAGTGGAGATTCTGGACACCAGGGGAGGACCCAGTGCATGAGGGGGTGAGGGGCACTATTCTTTTGAGTGGGTGCAGCCAGGGAGCATGTCACCACCTTCTCACAGCTGCCACCAAATTCCCCTCTGCAGACACCACCTCTGATGCCCAGCCACCTAGATGCAAGAAACTTCTGGATGCCCCACCCCACCCCAGCCACAAGCCATCCCTCAAGGGCAAATCAGACCTATGCAAATTCAAGCCTGATCCCTGATAGCCCTGGGTGTTTCCTCCAGCCCCTGACTGCTCTGCCTTGTCCCTGTGTGTCCCCAGGGTTGGACATGTCCCATTGCATCTTTGCTAGGTACCCAGTGTAGGCATGCAAGCAAGGGACATACCTCAGCTACCCACATTCCTCCATGCCCCCCTGGCACCCACAGAAGTGCTGGTGGGCTGGACAAACACTGCCAGGAAGTGAGGGCAAGGAGTAGCCTTCTCTGACCTCTGCACTTGGCCTCAAGCCAGCCCCCATGTGCCTCCAGCCCTTCTCAGCCCCAGGCTGAACCTCAGCACCCCACATCTCTCTCTTGCAGGCAGAGTACCGGCTATGCAATGGGTCTAACAAGGAGAGTGTGTCCCCGACATCGAGGGTCTCCAAGAAGGAGACTCTCAAGGTGGGTCTGGGTCTGAGGAGGGAAGACTGGCATGTTGTAGAATTCCCCAAAGTAGGGGCCCCAGACTGCCAAAGGGTGGGGCACGTACCATGCCCCCGCTTCCTCTGCCCCCACTGCCTGTCCTCTTCCTGTCCAGTCCCCACCATAGATGGCTGCGTGGTGGAAGGAGCTGGGCAGCAAGGAGCCTCTCTGTGACTCACTGCTTATGCCCTGGTCCCAGGCACAGAAGGAGAACTATAGGCAGGAGAAGAAGCGAGCTACGAAGCAACTGTTCAGTGCGCTGACTGACCCCAGCGTGGTCATCATGGCTGACAGCCTGAAGGTGGGCAAGCACTGCACAGCAGGGGGCCCCAGGGCACTGGGGGGTAGCAGGGGACACTAGACACTCAGGAGATAGCTAGCGTGTTTGTCGCTGTAAATCTCTGTAAGCATCCTGGGGCTGCTGTAACAAATGACCACAGAGCAGGTAGCTTAAAGCAACAGATGTGCATCTCCTCACAGCTCTGGAGGCCAAAGTCCAAGATCAAGGTGTCTCCAGGGCTGCATCCGTCCTCCCTCTTCCACAGCTCTGAGGCTCTAGGCAGTCCCTGTCTCTGTGGTCACACAGTTGTTCCTCCATATCTCTGTGCCTCTCGGTGTCCTCTCTCTTTCCTGTAAGGACACTGGTCACTGGTGCAGATCCCTACACCAGCGTGACTCCAGCTTCCTCCCCTTGATTCCATCTGCCAAGACCCAGTTTCCAAGCAAGTAGAAGTGTGGCAGAGGTCATTAGAGTCCCAAGCAGGAGGTCAAGGCTTTGACTTCCAGGCGAGGACAAGGTTCCAAGTCCAGAGGCTGTGTTCAGACCCCCCTGAGGCATCAGCCCCCAGCCTGTCTGTGTCCCCCATCACACAGTGGGGGTTAAACTGCCCCTCCAGGCCTTCTGGAAAAGCAAGTAAGACAAGTGTTCCAGAAGCCCTGGCCTGTGCAGCTCTCTCCCTCCACCCATGAAGAAACGGATAGAAAATTCTTTACAAAGGAATACTGAGCTAGAAAGAGAAACGACTAGTTTCAAATTTGCACACTTGACAATTCCAACTGTCACCACTTGGTGTCAGTTCCTCCCAGGACCCTTGTGAAGCCCTCGATCCCGAACAACCTCACCAGTGAATCTGTCTCTGGCTGCTGTGTATTTTTTCAGATCTGCCAGCTTCTAAATGTTCCTTTTTAAAACTGAAAGGCATAATGACACACTCCTGGAATCCCAGCTGTTTGGGAAACTGAGGCAGGAGGATCAACAGTTCAAGGGCAGCCTGGGCAACTTAGCAAGACTTTGTCTCAAAAAAAAGAAAGAAAAAATAAACTGGTAGAGAAGCCTGCTGTGGCCCAGAGAGTGCCCTGAGCTTTGCTCTGAGTTTCCCTGGCTTTGCCACATATTCAGGCAGTGCCAGCCCCTGCTGGGCACACAGAGGGCACCCCCTGGGGCCTGAGCAAGGGGGAACAGGAGAGAAGAAGGGCCTATTAGTGCACCCCATCCCCATCTGCCCCCACAAACCACCCAGATGCCCCAAGTGTGACCTTGGTGGTGGTGGTGTTGGCCATGTGCCCCTTACCCCTAGATCCGGGGGACCCTGAAAAGCTGGACCAAGCTGTGGTGCGTGCTGAAGCCAGGGGTGCTGCTCATCTACAAGACGCCCAAGGTGGGTCAGTGGGTGGGCACCGTGCTGCTGCACTGCTGCGAGCTCATCGAGCGCCCCTCCAAGAAGGATGGCTTCTGCTTCAAGCTTTTCCACCCACTTGACCAGTCTGTCTGGGCCGTGAAGGTACGAGGGAGGGGCTAGGGCGGGGGTGAGGGTAGAGCCAGGAGGCTCCACCCGGAGCCTGGTGGGCGGGCTCCCAAACAGGCCACCATCACCAGCTGTGTGTGTGGAGGGGTGTCCAGAAAGTCTTACTTCTGTGAGCATCATGCAGGGCTGAAGATCAGACAGGGTTACCCACCCTCTGTGGGTCCTACACCCTTGGCAGACCTAGAGGAGTAAGGTCACCATGGACCCCATCACCCAGCCACGATCCAGAGGGGAGGACAACTGTGCTCCTGACCCAGACCTCAGCCCTCATAACTGGGATCAGTTGGGGGAAGGCCCTCAGGGGAAATCCAGAACATCCTGTTACGTTTGGATTTCAGAGAAACACTGGCGTTGCTTAGCAAAAATTCTTGATTTACGATGAGGTCACACCCAAATAAACCCATCAGGTCAAAAATGCCTTTAACACACCTCCCCTCCTGAGCATTCCAGCTATATCTGCAGCATGCTCAAAATGCTTGCATTAGCTCACAGCCGGGTGAAGTCACCCGACATAGAGCCTACTTGATGATAAAATGTTGACTCGCTCATGAAATTATTGAATACCGCACTAAAAGTGAAAATCAGAATGGTCGTATGGGTACGCTTTCACACCATCAGAAAGTGGAAATATCACATCTAACCACTTTAAGTCAGGAATGGCCTTCTAAGTATATTCCAGCTATCGTACTGCATGGGATGTCCTTAGCCTAAAAAGCTCTTCATTGTTTCTCTGAGATTCAAATTCCACTGGGCACCCTGGATTTGCATTTGTTGATTCTGGCATCCCAAATCAGGAAGCTCGGAGCTGGAGAGCTGAGGGCAGAGGTACCAGCTAGGAAAAGGACAGAGTTCCCGCCTGCCCCCTCTTGCTTCCTGCCAGAGCTGACCTGCAGGTCTCTGCCTATCCAGGGTCCCAAAGGCGAGAGTGTGGGCTCCATCACACAGCCCCTCCCCAGCAGCTACCTGATCTTCAGAGCCGCCTCTGAGTCAGATGGTGAGTCCCCCACCCCCTCCTGCGTGTCTGTCCCCCGTAACCCCCAGAAGTGCAGGAGGCGAAGTTTCAGGCTCTCTGACACCAACAGGGAGACAACCTGAAGTCATGGGCCAGGCAGGTCTCTCACCCACCTGTGCACCCTCTGGGCCTCACTCTCTCTGTGGGGAAATGTGAACAGTATCTTTCACCCCAATTTTATGAGAATCCAGGGGCCTTAGGAAAGCAACGAGATGACAGTAACTGAGCTTTGCCCCATAACTCCGCCCCAGTAGGCTCTACTGTCATCATTCGTATTTGACATATGAGGAAACTGAGGCACAGGTAATCCACTCCCCCCGATGAGTGCTAGATTCCAGGTACACTGAATTTCCCCCAACCCCCAGACAACTTGCAGCTTGCTGGTGAGCACTGAATAGTGGCTTTTGCAGCTTCAGCCATGATGATCACTGTAACTAGTGAGATTCATTCTCCAAGTGATCACTCTCTAACCAGAGTGCTGGCCCCTCATCACCCAAGGCTGCCTGATTCCCCTTTGGTCCTTCCTGGCTAATATTTGTGCTCCTATTCTGCTTATGCCATGTTGCCCCCTAGTGGTCAAATGCCACATCCGCACTCCCTTCAATGGCTGACCTGAGTCCCTGTAGTAATTAATATGTTGTTAGGTCCCCTTAATATTATGATCATTTTCCCACTCTGGGCCGGTCACACCTGAGCCCTGGATGAACGGGGGAGCCCTTTTCCTCATGCTACCTGAAATCTTGTGAGGGGAAGGGCATGTAAGCAGCAAGCTGTCAGACAAAGCTAAAACCTGAGAGGAGTCTCAGAGTGTCAGGGGCCAAGATTAGATGTTGGGTTTCAAAGGGTCTGTAACATTCAGGACATCTAGTCCTTTGGGTCAACAACAAAACACATGTGTTCAGGGACCCGGGCCCAACTCGGCAGTAGTGACCATCCCACCTCTCACACTATGTGTGCCGCCCCGCAGCCCCTGCACATGTCCAGCCCAGGCTGCAATGAACTGCAGCAGGACCTTACTTGTCTCCCAGCAAGAGGGAAGCTCCAGCAAACCAGGAGCCACCATCCCTCCAGTAGCCCCTTCCCTAAGTTTCCAGAGCGGCCCCCAGTGCCAGATCCCAGGAATGCTTCCCAGAGCGGGTCCCCTGGTTTAGGCTGAGAAAGAAACTCCCAATCTCCAAGGGCATCACAATGGAAAGGCTTGAAGAAGTAAGAACTCTTCGTGCTCCTTTAAGCCAGAGCCCCCACACTTATGTGACCCCCATGCCAACAGAGAGACACCTTATTCATAGGCCGCCCCACGTCGCTTTTGTGAGTGGAAGGGCTGCTGTTAAGTCACACCAGGACATCCAGTGTCACCTGGGTAGACACCCCACGGAACAGAGGGCTGGTGCTGGTCTAACCCCACTCACCCCACTGCCTTTCTGCTGCCTGAGCAGTGACACCTGGGCCAGCACGTAAGGCTCCTCCCAGCCTCCTGCCACTGCCCCACGCTGTAACCAGGCCCGCAGGAGCCCAGCGCTCCAGACCTCAATTCTCAGTTGGGGAATCCCTGCTCCCCGCTCCACGCTCCACGAGGGAACCTGCAGGCTGATCCTCAAGGTGGAATGCCAGCTCTGGACATGTGACCGTGAAGGGTCCCTACTGTCCTGACCTTAGCCTCAGTCTGCGACACGGGTGCATGATGCGTCCTTTGAGGCCCCTGAAAGGCTGCGTGCGATCTGAGGCAGGATTTCTAGCTGGAAGGATTCGGGGAGGATGGTCTCTCCCACCGGGCTGAGCTGGGGGTATGACCAGGAGAGGAGGGGCCGAAGTGTGAGCGTCAGGAGGGCGTGGCTAGGAAGGGCAGGCTTCCTGGCCCATTCCGGAAGGGAATCTCCGAGTCAGAGGCGGAGGCGGAGCTCGGGGGTGGAGAGCGGGCAGGGAACACTTTTCCCGGGCTCACTCTGTGATTCACCCTCCTCCTCCAACTCCTCCTCGCAGGTCGCTGCTGGTTGGACGCCCTGGAGCTGGCTTTGCGCTGTTCCAGCCTGCTGCGCCTGAGCTCCTGCAAGCAGGGCCGCGATGGGGAGCCGGGGTCCTCGCCCGACGCGTCTCCCTCCTCGGTCTACGGGCTGCCCGCCTCGGTGGCCGTCCACCCTGACCCAGACCTCTTCCCGTGAGCCGTGGCCGGGTCTCCTGCGGGTAGGAGGCGGGGAGGGAACGACCCAAGCCCTGGAGCCTCAGCTTCTTCATTTATGCAGTGAGGACAATGGTGGCCACCTTGGTAGTGGAGGAATTAAATGCAGGAGCGTGTGTAAAGCACCTGCGGTGAGGGATGCTCCGTGCCCAGGTGAGCATACGTGCCTGGATCTCATCTGTGACCAGGTCCCCATGGCCGTGTCCACCTTCCAGGCTAAATGGGTCTTCCTTGGAGAACCACCTCGAGAACGACGGGTTCTCAGACAAATCAGAGCGAGAGAATGCCGAAGATTCAGATGCAGAGACCCAGGACCACAGTCGGAAGACCAATGAGAGTGGGAGTGACCAGTCTGAGGGCCCTGGGGGGCCGCGGAGGGGAACCTCCTACGTGGAGCAGGTCCAGGAGGAGCTGGGGGAGGTGAGAGCCAAGCGAACTTGCACAGATCAGCGGGGGGAGGAAGCAGGGCCTGGGGAGGGTCTCCCAGGCTTACACTGGCAGTGTGGGTGGCAGCTGTGCTCTGTGGGTGAACACTGCTCCTTTTGCTACACCCAACCCCCTGGGGTGGGGATGTAGGAATGGTGTGGGGGGTTGTGGGGATGGGGCAGGGTTTTGCCAAGACTCAAGGCGAGGTTCTGGGGCTGGAGTGGCCTGGGACACATGAGGTGATAGCAGCAAGGCTCCCTGTGGCCCTTGTTCTGCTGTCTCCCTTGAATTTGCTGCGGATGTAGACAGCCCTGAATTCAGATTCTTCCCCTCGCCACACCGGCCTTGTGGCCTTGTCCATCTGTAAAGGAGGAGGATCCCAGCCTTGTGCACTGGGTTTCTGTGAGATCTAAGTCTAGAGATAGAAACTCTGAGCTCAGCCTGTCGCCGAGAGCCTGAGCGTACCCTCACGTCCTCCAGCCCCAGTGCACTAAAGGGTGGAGGGTTGCGGGTTCCAGGCAAGTCCAGTTATGTCCACAGGCCTGGAAGCCACAGAGACCTCCCAGCAGTGGCAACAGAAAAATTGCTAGTTCTCAAGGAGGTGGCTCTTGGCCTTGCCTGGGCACTGCAGCTCCGTAGGACTTCCCAGGGGCACGGGCTTCACTGGGCAGTACACCACAGAGCGTGTCCCCCTGGCTCTCCCCAGAAAGCTCTTTGACGCTTTAGAGGTTGTTCTGCCCTCCTGCAGGTTGGTGGAGGTAACACAGAGGCCCCGCCTCCTGCCCCTAACACAGAGACAAAAGGAAAAGCCCAAGGCTCAGTAACCCCACAGTATGTGTTTGGCAGCTGTGATGAGGATTAGATGTGATAGAAAAGGAGGGGAGTCTGAGGCAGCCCCCACTTCTCGCCCTGTGACCTGGAGAAGGCGGAGACTCTGCTGGAAGCCCAGGTCTTTCTGAGGTGATGGTGCAGCTGTGATAGATTGTAGGGCAGGCTTTGTGGATGTGTACCTGCACAGTCTTCCAGCTTTGTATTAAATACCTACAACTCTGTGTATGCTGACTACCCTCAATGAAGTGGTTAAAATAATATTTTTTTTTTCTAATGAGGAGCAGGTTTGCAGCACCTGTCTCATTGGGCTGCTGTGAGGTTAAAGGAGCTAAGGCTTCCCTGTTTCCTGGACCCAGAGGCCCGTGGAAGGGCTTCTGGCTCCCTGTGGGACTGTCACTGAAGTCCACAGATAGGTTCCAACTACGAGGTCAGGCCTGACTCCGACTGGACTTGGGGGATTCACACAGGGCAAGGAAAGACCCCAGGTCTGCCAGCAGGAGGTGGCATGAGTGACCCAGGCAGGGCCAGTGGCCTCCTTCTGGAAAGATGGGCACCTAGCAAAGGCTAAGGGTCATGTGTAGCCAGTCAGGCTCTGCCAGTGCAGGGACCAGGTCGCAGTCCACACCCAGTGGGGGAACAGGTGTCACCCCCCCCATGCACATTTCTTCCAGCCGGGGCCAGCTACTCTGTCCTGCCTCAGTCTGGCTTCTCAGGCAGCACAAAGCAAAGTCACCCTTGCAGCTCCCCAGGGCCTGACTGTGTCTTCTGCCGCAGCTGAGTGAGGCGTCCCAGGTAGAGACGGTGTCGGAGGAAAACAAGAACCTGATGTGGGTGCTGCTGCGACAGCTGCGCCCCGGCATGGACCTGTCACGTGTGGTGTTGCCCACCTTTGTGCTGGAGCCACGCTCCTTCCTCGACAAGCTCTCAGACTACTACTACCATGCTGACCTGCTGTCCAGGTGTGCGGCTGGCCAGGGAGGGAGGCCTGCAGCCCTGCACCCCCAAGGAGGACACCAGTTACCAACAGGGTGGGCTGTGGGGACCCCCACACTTAGGAGCCAGGCAGAGGAAGCACAGCAGGATGCAGGCATCCAGGGGCTTCCTGGAGGTGGCAACAGCAACCTGATGACACCAAGCTTGTTTCTTCCTACTGCCCCCACATGAGTGGCTCTGGCACTTCCTGGGGGATTTCCCTGCTTCAGGGCTGCATGGCAGGATCAGCAGAGGGTATCCAGAGTAGCAGGCCCAGGGTGGCCTTTTTTAGCTGCATGTACAAAGACTGGAATTGTCAGAGGGTGCGGGTAGGAGAGAGGGAGGGTACTGGGATCACTGTATGGACTCAGAGTCTCCGCTCCATGCAGGGCTGCAATGGAGGACAGCGCCTATGGCCGCATCAAGCTCGTGCTGCGGTGGTACCTGTCTGGCTTCTACAAAAAGCCTAAGGTGAGAGACAGCCGTGGGGAGGGTGCTGTAGCCAGGGGTCTGTCCTCAACCCTCATCCTCGGCCCCCCTGAGTCCCTAGACCACTTCGCACCCCCGTAGCATTAAAGGATCCCGGTCACCCCCACCATGGCCCCACGTCCTCAGAGATGGAGTACAGTACTCTGACGGCCCATGGAGGGACCTCTGGACTTCTCAAGCCAGGCCCTCAAAGGTCATCCCTGCTCCATGAAAGACTCGAGCTGGACCCTTTCCGCATCCCCAGGGAAACAACCTCAGGCTATGTTAGAGACTGCACCACTGTGTAAGAGTGGGGCCAGGAAACCAGCTTTTGGCCTGAGCCTCAAGGTAACTTTAGGGTTTTCATAATTTCTAGTCATGAACTCGTTTTTAAGAAACTCAAAGTCAACGCTCAGCTGACAGCAGAACTGCCCTGGTTGTAGTGAGGGGGAGGGGTCGGCAGCTCTGTCCACTGCTGAGATCCCACCAGGAACCCTGGACTTCCGTGGGACACAAGTGTGAAAGTGGGCATTCTAGTTCCACCTCTTCATTACACAAGTGGGGAAACAGACTCAGAAAGAGAAAAGGACCATCCCAGACTGACAGAGCAGGTCTCCCCACTGCCTGGTGTCTCCTGAGCTCTGCTTGAACAGGCCATGTGTAGGCTGTACCCAAAGTGCAGGAAGAGCTGAAAAGTGGGCAGTGTATCCAGAGGCTGTCCCCAGAGATCGTAAGCCATGGGCAGAGTAAACTCCCAAAGCAGAAGCCGGGTACTGTTCCCAGATGCTGGCAGCAAACCAGGCTCCCTCCTAGACATGGGTGCAGCCTACCACACTGTCCTCCACCGTGCCCTACACAGGCCCATGGCCTGGCCCCGCTCAGAGGCACCTTCCTGCCCAGTTCCTCCAATGCATTTCTGTGCTTTTTCTGCAGGGAATCAAGAAGCCCTACAACCCCATCCTGGGGGAGACCTTCCGCTGCTGCTGGCTCCACCCCCAGACCAATAGTCACACCTTCTACATAGCAGAACAGGCAAGGCCTGGCCCAGGCCAGTAGAGTGGGGGCGGAGTGTGGGGAGGTAACCAGCAGACCCCGCAGTTGGCAGGGTAGGTCTGATGTCTGCCCCACATCCTACCAGTGGGTAGGGATCTGGATTGTCCTAGAAGGTACAGACCCAGCGTCATGGCGGTGATAGCTATGTCTCCTGAGGAAGGGGACAGTGCATCTTGTTTCCCAGGGCACAATCCAGTGTAGATCAGAGAGTCAAGTCTTCCCAGGCCTGTGACTCAGTTCCCTGAGGATGCCCTGAATGCCTGCTCCTGGGTCAGGGAGGGATGTGAACGTGGATCTTGCCGCCTGGACATCTCCAGAGCCTCCTCTCTGGCCACAGGTGTCCCACCACCCACCCGTGTCTGCCTTCCACGTCAGCAACCGAAAAGACGGCTTCTGCATAAGCGGGAGCATCACGGCCAAGTCCCGGTTCTACGGTGAGAGGGCTCAGCAGGGCACTTGTTGGCCCTTAGGCAAGTGGGAAGAAGACCTGGTCCCAGGACCTGAAGCAGTAGCAGAGTGCATGTCCCCTCGGACCAGGAACCACGCGGTGGTAAAAGTGATCAGGTCCTGGGTCGAGCAGGTCTCTCAGTAGAGAGTGGGGGCCTTTTGCAGGAAACCGAGAGAACTGAGGAGAGAAGCTGGGAGAGACAAGTCTACAGCCAAGCTGTCCAGTTCCAGAGTCACTGGCAGTATGTGGCCCTTTGAACTGATTACAACAGGCTTTGGCCCCATGGGAGAGCACTTAACTAGCACACATGAGGCCCAGGGGCACTGCGTGTGTTGGTAGAGAGGTAGATAATATATAAGTGTGTGGATAGGTAGATAGGTAGCTAGGAATGAAATAAAACTGAAAGCTCAGCTCTGCCCTTCAGTTACATGGGCCTTATCAAGTGTCACTGGCAGCCATACCTGGCTGGTGACCACTGCATGGGACAGGCGGGGTGGAAGTGTGGTTCAGTGCTGTCCTGGCCCTGGCAGCCTGATGTGTAGAAAATGTCCATCTCCATGTCCCCATCAGGCATACCTTGTTTTCTGCTGTCACCTGTGGGCAGGTGTAAGGGAACTGGGTGCCCCTGTGTGCCCAGCTTCCTGCAAGGGGTGACAGTGGCCTTTGTACTCAACCTCAGCTTACGTTTTCCACCTTTCACTCCTGTCCTGCCAGTGGCTGCAATTTCTAGTCCTAGGTGAGTGCCTCCCACAGCAGGGGCATTTAAAATGCAAGGACTCAGCCCAGAGCCTCCACCCAGAGAAGCCCTGACCTAACAACTGAAATAAACTGTTAACATGCAACAAGTTATGTAACTGTTTCTCAGAGCAGGTGGTGTGTGAACTAGACAGGGCTCTAACAGAATCTGAATGAGTCACCCACAGCCACACAGCTGGAGGTGCAGGAGCTCTCGCATCTATTGGAAGGGAGCTCAGACTCTATGGCTTCAGGGGTGGCCTGAGTGCCAAGGGAGTCTATGCTCACTGGTCCCCGTCCCTGTCTCTGTAGGGAACTCACTGTCAGCTCTCCTGGATGGCAAGGCCACACTCACCTTCCTGAACCGAGCAGAGGACTACAGCCTCACCATGCCCTATGCCCACTGCAGAGGTGAGCACATCCCACCCTCAGGACAGAGCCCAGGCTGCCCCCTACGAATGCAGTGGGTGCTAAGGGCTTTTGTTTCTATTTGCTCTAATATATCCTTCCTTCCCCCTCATTCATCAGTGATGTTTTCAAAACTGAGTATGTCGTTCCAGGTAGTGTTATTTTTCTCCATTTTATAAACGGTTCAATTTCCTTCTGGCTCCCATTGTAGTGGGTGATCAGTTGGCTGTCAGTCTCTGTTACCTTAGCTGTTTTGCTGTGTCCATTTTTAAGATCTCTGTCTTTGGTGCTCTGAAATCTCATTACTGTGTCAAAGTTTGCACTTCTTGTCCTATATTTTAGTTATTAGCCTTTGATTTCTAACAGTAGTTTAGGTTTACAGGAAAATTGAGCAAAAGGTACAGAGTTCCCATTACCCCCTACACACACACACACACACACACACACACACACACACACCGAGCTTCTCCTTTCATTAACATCAAGCATTAGTGCGGTATATTTGTTACAACTGATGAACCAATATTGATACATTAGTAGTCAAAGTCCACGGTTTCTATTAGGGTCATTCTTTGTGTTGCATATTCTCTGGGTTTTGACAAATGTATAATGTCATGGATCCACTATTAAGGCATCACAGAATAATTTCACTACCCTAAAATTCTCTGATGATTACACACTCATGGATTAATCCACCTGCTCGTCTCTCCATCCCCAGCCCCAGGCAGACATTGAGCTTTTTACTGTGGCCATAGTTTTGCCTTTCCCTGGATGCCACGTAGTTGTAATCATACAGCACATAGCCTTTTTTGGATTGGCCTCTTTCACTGTGCATTATGCATTTCAGTATTCCTCACATCTTTTTAACTTCTTTTTAACCACTTTGTGGGGATGTCTGGGGACAGAGTCCTTGCTGCTCTGGCTGGAATTTGCCCACTGCTTCCCACAGGGCCTGCAATCTGAGGTCTCAGATCTGCAAAGGCTCCTCCTCATCTCATCATCATACTCCTCCTTGGTCTTTCTCCTGGTCCTGGTGTCTTCCTTCTCCTCCTCCTCATCTTCCTCATCTTACCTTCTCCACCACCTCTTTCCTCCTCCTCTTCCTCCTCTTTCTGTCTTTCTCCTCCGTTTCTCTCTTCTCCTCTTCCTCATCCTCATTTCTCCTCCTCCTCTGTCTTACCCCTTGCCTCCCACTTCTTTCTCATCATCTTCTCCTTTTCTTCCCTCCTTTTTCTCCCCTCCTCCTTTTGCTCGCCGTCTCTGCCAGCCGTCCTCTTCCATATCCCCCTCCTGTACCTTCCCAGCCTCTTGTTCACGTCTTCTTCTGGGGACTTTTTCTTCTTTTCTTTGTCTTCATCTGTTCATCGTCTTGATCTATAGACGCTCTGTCACATTCAGCCACTTTTTGTGACAAGGCCCTTCACAGGGCCCAGTGTCATTCCAAGGCAGGTGTGCCGTGTCCGTGGTGCGTTGGATCTATGGCTTGTCTGCTGGTCTGTTGGGCTTAGCAGGAGGACCAGATCCTTCTCCCCTCCTTCATTTACCTGTAAGAAGCTTCTCAAAGGAGAAACTGCTGTTGTCTTTTGCATGGTTACCGAGGGGGTTCAGTTCATTTTGAGAATAATTGCCATATTTTTTCTCTTTTCTAAATGACTTTCTCCTCTGGCATCCTCCAGAGGTTTCATTGTCAAGGTTGTACCACTGTAGATGTGACAGGAACAGACCTGAAGGTTTTAGGACATTGCAATTACTGTCCTTACTGAGACTCAGATTGGTCCAGTTTGGGCCTGAGAAGGCCAGGGTTGGCTTTTGGGTCCCATCAACCCTCTAGAGCAGTGGTCCACCCCCCTTTTTGGCACCAGGACTGGTTTCATGGAAACTAATGTTTCCCCAGACCAGAGGTTAGAAGTAGTCATCTGGGATGATTCAAGTATGTTACATTTATTGTGCACTTTATTTCTGTTATTATCATACGGTAATATATAACAAAAGAATTATACAACTCACCATAATGCACAATCACTGGGAGCCCTGAGCTTGTTTTCCTGCAGTTAGATGTTTCTGCCAACTCATTTGCTCCTCTAAAGCCTGCCACAAGATGCTGTTTAATTGTCACCCGCCACTCAGGCTGCAAGCAATTAAGATACTATGATCCCTATGCACTCAAAACTCTTGCTGATGTGATTCTGTATTTGCTGGCCATCTCCACCTCAGTTCTACCTCAGATTGTCAGGCATTAGATTCTCATAAGCAGCACAAAACCTAGATCCTTTATGTGTGTATTTCACAGTAGGGTTCAAGCTCCTATGAGAACCTAACGCTGCCAGTCATCTGGCAGGAAGTGGAACTCAGGCAATAATTCAAGTGTAGGGAGCAGCTGTCAATACAGGTAAAGCTTTGCCTGCTCACCTCCTGCTGTGAGGACCCCTGCCCCAGAGCTCTCCGACTTTCTTTCTTTCTGCAATGACCCTGTGACCCCTTGAGCACATGGACATTTCTCACTGCAGATATTAAATAGACTGTTTCTCCAGGAAACACTAGCTCCTTCCAGTAGGAAATACAGACTGTAATAATCATCTTTCTGTTGCTGGGATAAAATATCTGACATATACAACTTAAAAGAGAAAAGTTTATTCTGGCCCACAATTTCAGAGATTTTTTAGCACGTGGTTGGCTGGCTTTAAGGCAGGAATATCATGGTAGAAAGTTATGGCAGAGAAAAACTGCTCAACTCCTGGAATCCAGAAAACAGAGAGAAAGGGTAGGGGGAGCCCAGGCAAGAGAAAAGCCCTCCAAAGGCACTCCACTCCATTGACCCGCCCCTGCACCTGGGCCCCACCTCCTAACACCGCATTCAGCTATGAAGTTCAGCTCCCATGTGTGATAACCCTGCTTCTGAATACATGAGCTTTTGGGGGGACATTTAAGGTGCAAACTATAACAGAAAAACACAATCTAGAGGTTATATTTGGCTTTTAAAAATATTTTTAATTGTGATAAAATACATGAGCTTTGTTCTCTTGATTACTCTGCTGAGCACCATGCAGGGGTATTAACACATTCATCACGGTTGCAGCCGTCACTGTTTATCTCCAGATCCGTTTCTTAGGGGTAGCTTGGTCAGTGTTACCAGGGCTTGCTAGTAAGTTGAGGTTACAAACCTTTCTCATTGTAGGAATACATTAGATTGGAGTCCACAGGGTGGGGCTGTCCCCACAGCCTGGCATCAAATCTGTCTTCCCTACACCAAAAACCCATCTAGAGCCACAGCCACAGTAACTTATGCATCCTAAACCCTGTCACACATGCAGCAGTCTCAGGAAGATCAAAGTCACCATACGTGAGTGAAAACAGGTGTAGCTTAACTTTAGGATAGTGTTTGTCTTAACTGTCCCACTGGGATTTTCAGAGTCACCTGGCTTAGATCCCTCCCTCTAAGATCAGACCACCCACTGATACCCAGTTCGGATTTTGAGGAATCTTCAAATCAAAAGTGAAGTTTGAGTTTCATTTTACTTCTGATTTCTAGAAACTGCTTTTTCATTTTTTTCATCATTATGTAAATAAACCATCAACCTGGTTCCAAAGTCTAAACCACAGAATAAGGTACAGGAAAATTCTACATCTCTCTGGGACCCCCACCCACCGTGCCAGAGGACAGGCACCTGTACTCACGCTGAGCTGCCTCTGGCTTCCCTCACTGCCAGTGTGGCCTGGAGCACCCCCAGAGCAGCATAGTGACCCTCCAGGTCCTTTCTGTGTGATGAGCTCTCGTGGACCCCGGTACACAGCTAGACACTGAGAGAACACTAGGTGTGTTTCAGACTTAGCTCTTACAAAAAGCTTGTGTTATTTCTGTTTTTCATGTTTGAAAGAGACATATTTTGTCCCACATTTGTAAGTGTTTTGTTCAGCTGGTGGTGTTGCTCTAGTTTTCCATATGGCCAGAGATGCGAAACAAGCCAGGGCCGTGCTGGGAGTGGGAGTGCCTGTAATCCCAGCACTCAGGAGGCAGAGACAGGAAGATTGCTACAAGTCTGAGACTAGCCACGGCTGCATAGTGATTTCAAGGCGGGCCTGACCTGCACAGCAAGATCCTGTCTCAAACAATTAAAAGTGCCTGGTGCCATCCTGGGTCACAGCAGTGAGGAGTGGGGTCACCTGCCTTCAGGAGCGAGCATTGGCATAGAACTGCAGTCTGGGGACATATATGACAAGTGTCTCGTGGACTGGGAGCCCAGCAAAAACTGTGGGCAGCTTCTGGACCTGAGCAGAGGCACTGGCATGCCTCTGAGCTTGGTGGCCACATGACTCTCCCCACATGTGCTCTGCTCCTAGAGCATCTGTCCATCCGTGCTCCCTTTGGTCCTCCCAGGGTCTGACACGGGCCTCCCAGGGATTGGATCTCAATCCTTACATGGCTGCATTTCAGGGCTACTGTATGGCACCATGACCCTGGAACTGGGGGGGAAAGTGACCATCGCCTGCGAGAAGAACAACCTCCAAGTTGAGCTGGATTTCAAGCTCAAGGTAGAGGGAACTGCCTGGGGGAGGCAGGCCTGCAGTTCAGGCCAGGGAAGGAGCAAGACTTGGGGGATTCCCTTCTGCACTCCAGGGAAGGTTCCCAAGCAGTGTCCCTAAGCAAGCAGCTCTGTATGTCTCCATGGGACAGATGGGGGCCAAAGAGAGGAAGGGGATGCCTTCTGGTCACACAGTGGAGCCAGAACAGGCCTAGGTCTTGTCCCCATGATGAGGACCCTGCAGGCTTGAGCTCAGCCTGAGACCTTTGGGACAGGGTAGCCTCCTCCAGCTTTGGGGTTCATGCCAACCATGGCCTCGAGAGTGACTATTCCGAGCCCCCCAAGGATGTGCCTCTGGCTCCTCCTGGCTCACAGGCGTCCATCTGTCCCGGTGTTCCCCGTAGCCTTTCTTTGGGGGCAGTACCAACATCAACCAGATCTCAGGAAAGATCATGTCTGGAGAGGAGGTCCTGGCACGTCTTACTGGACACTGGGTAAGGCACAACTTTTGGGGCACACCCAGCTGGGCTCTGGGGTGCTCATCATGGGTGCAACTCTGATACCACCTGGCCATCTGAGGCAGGACAGAGACGTGTTTATCAAGGAGGAAGGCAGTGGAAGCCCCGAGCTCTTCTGGACCCCAAGTGAGGAGGTCCGCGCACAGCGGCTGAAGCGGCACACAGTACTGTTTGAGGAGCAGACAGAGCTAGAGTCCGAGAGGTGAGCCCTGTCCCTCGCCAGGAGAGCCCACTGACCACAGCCTGTCACAACGGCGGGAAGGTTGACAGGGTCATGGTGCTGTGAGCACATTCCAGGATGCCCCTGGCAGGGAGGACAGACCTCAGAGTGGACCCCTCAAGGCAGAGCATGTGACCAGTGACAGCAGGTGGAGGGTTGGGATCTTTGTCACTGGCAGCAGGTGACCATCAATTCCATAGGGAGGTCTCTCCAGGCAGGAAATGGAAAAACATTCTCAGATCCATAAAACAGCACCCTGAGAGACACAGATCCCTGCGAAGTAGTGAGCTCCCTGTCACTAGAGGCAATCTGAGTCTTCCCAGTTCAGAGTGGCCCTGATTCCACACTGCCGAGGGGACACTGCCAACTAGGCCCTCAGCTTAGGGCAGATCCCCTGGCCCTGCAGACTCTGGCAGCACGTCACCAGGGCCATCCTGGAAGGTGACCAGCACAAGGCCACACAGGAGAAGTTTGCACTGGAGGAGGCGCAGCGGCAGCGTTCCCGAGAGCGCCAGCAGAACCTCACCCCCTGGAAGCCGCAGCTGTTCCACCTGGATCCGCTCACCCAGGAGTGGCGCTACCGCTATGAGAAGTGAGCATGGCAGGTGGCTGCCGTGGGCCTTGCAGTGTGACCAGGCCTAGCAGACTGCACCCATCATACTGGGCTTGGGCTTGAGGGGCCACAGGAGCTCCCACTTCTTCTCACCTTAGCCTGTCCTCTGGAGGCCCAGGTGATAGGGGTGGACCAGGGATGGTGGACACCCTGGGAGGCTCCACCCACCATAGGGAAGCTGAAGGTTGGGCTTGGACGGAGCCCCTTTCTTTGAGGGCTACCTGGGCTGCCACTTTTGCTGATGGATGCCCTGTGGACCCTCTAGCCACAGCCCCTGGAACCCCCTGAAGGATATCGCCCAGTTTGAGCAGGATGGGGTTCTGCACACCCTGCAGCGGGAGACCATGGCCCACCAGACCAACTTCCTGGGCAGCCCAGGCTCCGGACACAAGGTCAGCACCCTCAGAGCCCCCCAGGTTCCCCAGCTGCAGGTGTGGCTGCCAGCTACACCCTTGCTCCCCACCCAGCATTCCTCCCACCATGCCCTGCTCTGCCGTGCTCTCACCCTCTGCCTCACAGGGGCCTCTGCTGACCCCAGCCCCTTGTGCTCAGCGTGGCCCCAGGATACCTGCATTTGCAGGATGCTTGGGTCGTGGGACACTCACACTTCACCATGCAGGCTCTGAATAGGGTCTGCTGGCTCCTAACTCATCACCCCTTAGAGCCATTTTCTGCGATGTTATAGCCACAGAATCCCATTCTTCAGATGAGGACACTGGGGCCAAAGGTAGCCCAGGTGGGGCTTCCCAAGGTAGGACGAGAAACCAGTGTTCACACACATCTGGGCCATGGAAAGAACATGAGGGAATGCAGACAGGCTCCAGGAAGAAAAGAATGACAGGCCCTGGCAGGAGGTGTGACTTGGCACGTGCCTGAGGGCTCCATGGATGCCCTGTTAGGCAGGGCCCTGGTCCAGAGGTCTGTGTCCCAGGTGTGAGGAGCACCTGCTGTGCTGGCCAGCGCCAGTGTGTACAGAGGCAGTGTGCTGGCCCTCACCCTTGCAGAGGGCGTCAGCAGCAATGTGTTAGAGCAGAGAGCCCGGGACTGCCCCTCCCACACCAAGTGGAGGTTCAAACCTCCTCTGTCCAACTCCAAAACCATGGGATTCCCTCTCTGTGTGCCACCAACTCTGGCCAGCTCTGTGCTGACATAAACAAGCCATCGTGTCCTCGGGGAGCCCATGATGGCGTGTGTGGGCTCTGGGCTGCAGCAACTCGATCTCTCTGCAGAGGCCTGGCCCAGACCGGCGACTCCGCAAGGCCAGTGACCAGCCCTCAGGCCACAGCCAGGTCACTGAGAGCAGCGGCTCCACGCCTGAGTCCTGCCCAGAGCTCTCAGATGAGGATGGCGACTTTGTTCCTGGTAAGGCCTCTTTGAACAGTCCCCAAAACTTCTCTGGCAGGCACCTTGGCCTGACCTGGCAGGGAGGGTGGGAGGGGGATGGCTGCAGCCTCCAGCCCCTCGGCAGGATGGGCAGGCCAAAAAGGTGCCTTCCTGGGTTGTAAGTGCATCCTGCTTTGCCCTGAGGCTCAGTTTTCTCATCTGAAGTATGGGCTGAGGAGAGAAGTGATGGGCGGGGGGAGCAGGCTCAGGTCACAGTTTGCTGAGCTGCAGGGGCAGTGTAGAGAGTGTGTCATCCTGCCCCCACCCTGATGGGTCCATCTGCTCCTTTGCTGTCCCTGGGGGTCTTCCCACTGTCTTTAGAGTTTATTAGAGGCCATGGGTGTGGGACGCCCTCCAGACACTTTCTCTGCACCTCTGCCTCGCTGCATCTGTGGCTTGCTCCCGGGTATGTCAGGGCCAGGACCCTGCACCACTCACTCTGCTTCTCTCCTCTCCTATGTCCTCCCTGCCCTCCGGGCTCTCAGGCAGTGAGAGCCCATGCTCTCGGTGCAGGAGGGAGGTGCACCGGCTGCAGGCCCTACAGGAGGCTGTGTTATCCATCCAGGAGGCCCAGCAGGAGCTGCACAGGTAGGCCAGGCTCCAACCAGAGGGTAGGGAGAGGGTGGCCAGGGGAGCCTGGGGCCTACACAGGTGCAGCTGACTGCATGCAGGAGCTCAGCTGTGGGGGCAGAGGCCCAGCTGTCTGGATACACAGGAAGTAGGTCTGAACAGACTGGGTGGCTGATCTTGTAAGAACTTGAGCTGGAGATTTCAAGGAGCTTAAGAGTTTGGGGCTGGGCTTAGGCCTGGACATAGGTGTGGCCCCGGGAGAGATCTGAAGGCAGCCTAGCTCAGGCTAGGTCTGATAGCCACAGAACAACAAGGAAAGGGTGTAATATAACTCAGACCACAGCTAAGATCTGAGAACTTAGGGGGCCACTGGTGTCAGTTTTTTAAAGGCCAGAAAGTCTGGGGTCCTGATTTCCAAGGGCAGGAAAAGATGATGTCCCAGCACCAGAAAGAGGAAGTCCTTTCTTCTACCTTGTCTTCTCCTGCCCTGCTGATCCTACAGTGCTACCCGCACCAGGAAAGCATGGCTCTTCGCCGCTGCTCCACGCTGTGCAGGCCACTGCCCTCCAGAGATGAGGAGACATCCTGGCTGGGCAGCCCTCTGGACTGGGAGCGTGGTCATGCTGGTCAATACAGTATCCACCCTGTTGTTGCAGGCACCTCTCGGCCATGCTGAACTGTGCAGTGCGGGCCAGGCAGGCACCAACTCCAGGCCTCCTGCACAGTCCCCGATGCTGGTTCCTGCTCTGCGTGTTCCTGGCCTGTCAGCTGCTCATCAACTATGTCCTCAAATAAGAGCCCTGGGGCAGCGGGACATTGCCTATAGAGCTCCAGCAGCCCAGCTCTCCCTCCCAGGCACCCAGCACTTTAAGCCAGCTCCATGGAGGCAGAGAGACTCAATAGGCATGGCCTCTATGACAAACGGGGCCATGCCCAAAGGACAGCAGACAGACCTGTGGGATATCAGTGTGCTGCAGCCTGGAGTGGGGGCCCCCTGGGGCGCAGTGGCCTTTGCAGGGGAGCATGGATCTTGCCTGCGGTGCCCTGTATCTAGCACTGGCCTTAATGCTAAAGCCAAATGCAGCTTCTGTCCTGAGAGATGCCCTGGTCCTCTTGCCTCACCGTTCTCAATCCAGCCCACATGGCATCGATGGATGTGGGGTAGGAGCCTCTCCTAGATGTTGGGACAGTCACTCCCGGTGGCAGTAAGTGAGCACAGCTTAGAGGAGCAAGCCGGGACACCCAAGAGTCCCCAGGACTCAGCCTCCATGATACACAGACCTGCCTTCCTGGGATCCTACCTGCAAGGCCGAGGTCACCCTGGAAGGGCCTCCAGTGGATCCTGGGGCAGGCTGGGGCTGCCCTGGGGAGGATACTAGGGTTGCTCTGGGGAAGATGCTGGGGCTTTTATTCTGCCAAGTTTGGACAGCAGCCAAGCACAGGTAGGTACCAGGTCCCTCCTCAACCCCACAGTGGGCGGAGCCTGCTTGTGCAGGGGCGTGCCCAGCCTACCTTTGAGTGTGAGGGTGTGCCCAGGAGCAGGGCACTGGAGGTGGCCCTGAAGTCAGGAGGCTCAAGATTGTGACATTGCAGTCTTCCCACTCGTTTTACACTTTTTTAATACATGTAATAATTGCAATATTTCAGGCGTCTGGCGCCCGGTTCCCGTGTCACTGACACTCTGTATGTGTGCGCATTGTGTGTGTGTGAGCGTCTACACGTATTTACATTCAGAGCCTTAAACTACTTTGTGGGTGCCGTCTCCATGTAACTGATCCTTCCGTTTTCCTCGTTTTGTACCCACGTTCTTGTCTGGGGACATGTCTGCGCTGTACGCCTTGAAATAAACAGACACACGTTGCGTGTTCTCTTCTTGGGGACTTCTGGAAAGGGCGTCTTCCTGCGGACAGATTCTAAACTGAGGAGAGGCTATCCGAGAGGGAGGAGGAGGCTGTGGGTCTGGAGAGGCTGCCTGAGACGAGGGAAACTACATGGGGAAAGCTGTGAGGGGCTGCCTATCACAGGGGAGCAAGGACTGTCCGAGGTCTCTAGTATGCTGGGGGAAGTAGGCTAAGATGAGGAGATTATGGAGGGGTGGAAGCTGTCAGAGGGGAAAGGGGAGGCTGCAGAGAAAGAGGGAGGCTGGAGGAGCTGTCCCAGTGGGAGAAGGGACCAGGAAGGGGAGGCTGGGGGGCGGGGGTGATGGCTGTCTGAGGTGGGGGTGTGTTGGAGGAGGGCAAAGCTCTCCAAGAGGGGAGGCTGTGGGGGTGGGGGCTGACCACCTTGGGGTGGGGGAGACTGTCCAAGTGATGGAGGGGTGTGGGTGGGAAGGCTGGGGTGGAGGAGAGTCTGAGTGAGGAGGGGGCTGTTCCAGAGGACCACTGTGTTACTTTGCTCATTGCTGAGAAAAAATACCCAACACCTAAATTTAAAGGAGGAAAGGTTTATCTAGCTCACAGTTGGGTTTTTAAATTTGTTTCTGTTTGTTTTTTGAGATAGGATCTCACCATGTAGTTCAGTCTGACCTTCAACTCACTATGTAGTATGAGGCCTTGGCAGATGTCTAGACACAAGCCATAACAGCCACTGTCCCAAAGATGGGAACAACTGAACGAGCAGCAGGGAGGCTATCTGAGGAGCCCAGGCAAGTTGTCACAAGGTGGAAGATTACTGAAGTTGGCAATAGAAAAGACAACTCCAGCAAGCTGGTTGGTCATCTCCAGCTTCTCATCCTGGTTAAATTTCAGTGGCATGAGACAGCTGCAGGATCAACCAGCGGCATGACTAGGAGTGTCACCTGCCTCATCTGCTCCACTGCAGATGCTTCAAAAGCCTGGACCCTTCCCTGACCAACAGTGTGGGGCCCTCCCCTTCCATGGGTTGGACCCAGTTGTCTATAGCTGTTCCTCCTGATGCAGGTGAATGGGCACCACATAGGGGCTGGGGGCTCCCGCCAGGGGCCCACAAAGCTGGAGCAGTTGCAGCTGCCCTGGCAAGTTTTTCTAGAAGCAGCCCAATAAAGCAGTGGGAGTCAGGGTATGACCTAGTACCTGGCCAGGACAAAGGTGAGGTCAGAGCTGTGAGCATAGTTTCCTTAGACACTCAGTAGCCTTCCAACCTGGCCCTCAGGAGAGGGGGCTCAGTGCAGTGCCTGACATAGTATTCACAGAGGCCAGTTCAGTGAGACAGGATAGCTGTCCCCTCTCCTTAGGTGGCTCCTCACCAGGAGCCCGCACCCAAGCACGCTGTGGTTTCATTTTGTGCAAGCTCAAGCCTCAGCAGAATGTGACTTCATTTTACATCTGTCCAGAGCCTTTCACTCTGCCCGTCCTTCCCTGCCCCTCCCTTTGCTCCTTTTGTGTGCTCTTTTCCCTGACTCCTTTGATGTCTCTCATAGGCTTCCTTCAGACCTTTTAAGGTAGGGCTCTATTTTCCTATTCCTATTTTCCTCTATTCCACAGTTGAATACTAGTAAGGAAAAGTCAAATTCATTTCTCCTTTAAAACCATATCACGTGACAGGACACTAGAATGCCAGGAAAAACTTGTTTTCTGAGGGTATGGCACAGATGTTTTGAAGATTATACAGCTGGCTGTCAGGTAATGCCTAAGGAATCTCGGGGTGGGGCTGGTCAACAGAACCACCCAAAATTTAAAGCAGGACCTCAGATTCCCACCACTAACCTCCAGTTGACTGAGCTTTATTGAACACCAGCGGCCAGCAAGTTTATCAGCCCTGCTCAGCTAATGAAATCTTTATAAACAGCCCTTGGCAAGAGAGTTCAGAGGTCTTCAGGAACACCAGGAAGTGCTGGGAGATGAGCCTGGGGCCACAGTGGAATCTCTACACCTGTCCTTTCCCACCCATGCCTGACTCCTGCATCCCTTCTGCTGGCTGTTCCAAGGTGTGGCCTGCGTAAAAGACTTATTCACCTGGGAAGCACATTCCATTGGTCATGTCAGGGAGTTACTGAATCTGAAAAGGGGGTAATGGTGGGAATCCCCAACTATGGAAGGTTAGTCGGAATTCTAGGAGGCCTGTCATTTGCAACTGGTACCTGCTGTGGGATCAGTCTTATGGGCTGATCATGGGATGGGATACTTTCTCCCTAGTCAGAATTGGACTGACTTGATATTCCGGCTGGTATTAGAGTGTCAAAGAAGTGCTGCAAAAGTGCTGCATTAGGCATTGGGGGTGTGTTGAGCAGAAGCAGCTGAATGGTCAGCTCTCGGGGACAGCACATTAAGATTGGCAGGATGTAGGTGGGGGTGGGGCTAGAAGAACAATGAGCCCCATCTGGAGCAAAGCCCATTGGAGGATGCTGGGAAAAAATTTAGTAACTGTCAGGAGGAGAAATGTTGTTTCCAAGCTGGCTATAAGATATCCAGGTGAGGAGGTACTTGTCATGGGCATTGTGTAGGAGCTAAGGGTTCCTGCCAGAGAACCAGGTAGCTGGCTTCTTACCCCATGTGTAAGTCAAACAAAGGGAATATCCCCTTGTGCTTCCAGATGGTCTGTGCCCAGGAACAGCCTGGGAATGGGCCCTCTCCAGCTTTGCCTTTCTATGCCTTATTTTGTTAGGTTCAATATTTATAAAAGTGCAATAAGCATAAGAGTTTTACATCTACCTTCCCTCAGGCTACCTTGTCTTTCAGAGAAGATATATATATGCATTGTTACTTTTATGGGTTTTAAATTGTGGTGAAGTATATGTAACATAAAATTACCATTTTAAAATACTCTTCAGTGGCATCAAGTACATTTATTTTATCCCACCATCACCACCATCTGTTTCAAGAACTTTTTCCTCATCTGCAACTGAAATTCTATCCCCATGAAAAGCTACTCTTAGTCCCCTCCCCTGGCACCCACCATCGTACTTTCTCAGGGAATCTGACTCTTCCAAGAACTAGATGTAAACACAATCATATAATTTTTTTCCTTTTGTGACTGAGCACAGTGCCCTTAATATTTGCCCATGTTGTAGTCAGTGTTAGAATTTTTTTCCTTTTTAGTGCTAAATAATATTTCACTGCATGAATGGACCACATTTTGTTTATCCATCCTTCTATCCATTGATGTTGTATCATTTTCTGTATTAGCCCCTTTCCCATCACTGGGACAAAATACCTGACATTCACAACTTATAAGGAGTGGGAGTATCTTTTCACTCACAATTTCAGAGGCTTAGGTCTTTACTTAAGTGCCTCCAAGGGAGCACATCATGGTAGATGTGCTTGTTGGGGAAAAGCTCCTCATGGCAGTCAAGAAACAGAGAGAGAAAAAGACCCAGAGAGGAAGGGGCAAGGGACTAGATAAAACCCTCAAGGTCAATACTCACGATCCATTCACTTTAGTAGTCCCTATCCACCGTTTCCATCGTGTGCCAATAATGCCTTCGAATTATGAAGTTACAGCCGTCGTGCCCCATCTCCTCCCTACAGTGAGGAAGCTGCACATCTGAGAATTGCTGCACAGCAGAAATGTCCTCCATATGTGAGACTTTGGGTGACATTTTATCCATAACAGTACCTAGGGGGAGACCAAATGTTAAGCAGGAAACAAGAATACAAAGCTAGCCTTGGGGACACCCACTGCAAGATTGAAAAGGAAAACTAAGACTTAAAAGAAAAGATAAATCCCCTTGCTCTCCCCTTCTTCTTCCCTCTTCCTATCTTTTAGTCCCTGTCTCTTCTGCAAGAGATCTAGCTCCCTATTTCCTATTATCTGTCGTTTATTTGCTCTTTAATCCTTTGTGCTTTCTTGCGACATTTAAACTTGATGGCTGCATAGGCCACTTCCAAGAGTTTGGCTGTTATGAGTTGTGGTGCTATAAACATGGCTATGTGTACATCACTGTAATATGATGATTTGAACGCTTTAAGGAGGGTACTTAGAAAGGAGTAGCTAGGTTGAATGGAATTTCAGATTTAGTCTTAAACACTCTCCATCCTGACTGTTTTGGACGTCCACACTCGAAGGAAGCTCTGACTCAAACCAGAGTTCTTTTTCCCTTCATATCTTTTTTTTAATAAATGCATACTGGCTCTGCAGAATAATGTGTTTTCATTTTGGCAGATTCCTACATGCACATAACATGTATTCATCATCTACCCCTTCCCCTCCCCCAAAAAACAGACCAGGGTTTTCAGGAAAAGAACGAACAAATTACCCTCCAAACCAACAATGAGGAGGAGTCACTGTCACTGTTAAAGGACCGGTCTCATTCTTTGCTGTCCAGAAGTCCACAAAATCCCTTTGGTGAAAATAGAAATGAACACTGAGGTAACAGCATGAATTTACAGGTTTAATCGAGAAGGACCTGAACAAAAACAAGGAAGGACTTCAGCTTTGGAAGAAGAGCAAACAGGGGCTCTTCAGGACCTTGGCAATCAGGTGCTGTTATCAGAGGAAAAAGACAATCTTTCAGAGGATCTTGGGAGGCTAGGGTTTGGTGACTTTCCATCAAGTCATGAGTATGGACTGTTTTTTAGTTTTTTTTTTTTTTACTTCTTGCTTGTGCTTTAGTGAATTTTTTCTTGGATAGGATTTGGATTCGCAGTTATTCTTTTTGGTTGCGGGGTATTTAGAGACAGGATCTCCCTGTGTAGTACAGGCTAGCTTTGAAGTCGCTTATGTGGTCCAGGCTGGCCTCAAACACAGGGATCCTACTGCTTCAGCCCCCTGAGTGCTGGAATCATAGGTGTGTGCCACCACACCGGGTGGATTAGGCATTGCTCTTGCCTTTGGGAACATTCTAGCATCCTCTTGCTATTATGGGGTACCTTGTCTTTCCACTGAGAGTAAGAAAACAAGGGGAGTGTGCCGTTCATAGTTTGTTGGCGAGGCAGAATGGGGGAAAGACATATCTTCCATTTCAGTGGGACATGGGTGGTGGATTAAGACTGCAGACCCCCTGTCACTGATCTCCATCAAGGTCCCTGTCCATTAAGAGAGCACATAGATGGAGGGGTGGAATAAGTACACATTATATTTTTAGCGAGTAACAGGTGAAGGGACCTAGAGTTCACCTGTGCTCCATCCCTCAGTAGGACGAAGTTTTATTTGCTTGTCTAGTTTATTTTTGGAGACTCAGGGGCAAAGGCATCCTGGTTTAATAATGCCCCTGGGCTTTTAGGTCAATGAGGTGGTTTGGTTAAGTGATGGCCAGGGAAGAACACATATACTCCCAATGGGTAACTGCCCCTGAGCTAAGGCCCCAGAGGAGACACCTGCCCTTTGTTCCTTTGTCCCCAGGGTGGCCTCTGATGGCCCGAGGGTCCCTGAGGGTGATGAAAGACGACCAATAGAAAGACACAGCCTGCTCAAGCTGCTGCTGGCCACAGGAAAGGGCAGAGCTACTGTGGAGCACGCAGTGACCAGCACTGAAGGAGTGTGGTCGAAGATGTGGAGAGTGGGCATCAGGGGGAGAGCAAAGCTATGCGTTAATTCCAGAGCTGTGTCCCCACAGAGCCCAGAGATGGGGGCATGTTTTGAGAAGTTCTGTAATCATCTCCTAGGAAATACAAGGGCCTGTAGTGATGCTTTTATGTAAGGAGAATAGAATCGTTGCAGGTCTTGAAAACATTTTTTGGTGCTGAGGATCGAACCCCAGGGCCTCATGCTTGCTAGGCAAGTGTTGTACCACTGAGGTAAATCCCCAACCCCCAAAGGTTTTTTCTTTGGGTTTTTTTTCTTTGTTGGTAGTTTCTGACTGTCTTCCTATGCATTTCCGGCTGATGGTGAACTCCCTATGTAGCCCAGGTTAGCATGGAACTCTCAGCAATCCTCCCTCCTCAGCCTGCGGAGAGCAGGAAAGGCAGGCTTGCATCACCACCTCCGATTTCTTTGTGGTTTTAAAGACAGCAGTGAAATTGTTTCTGCTGGGATAAATGACTAAAATAGTAAAGACCTGGGCACAGTAGCCTATTACAAGCACCGTTACAGTGCTAGGGCTTGGCGGACTATTGTCCCTGCAGCGCAGGAGAAAGAAGCACTGAGCTCCGTAGGGTTGATAGTCCTCCAAGTCCTAGCTCTCTAAGGATGTTTGCACTTGGCCACCAGGGGTCCCAGAGGAAGCTTCTAAAACAGCCTGAGAGGCGGGCTAGGGGCGGAGCTAGTGACGAGTACTACGTGAGTGGCCCAGAGCTGGACTGGGAGGGGCTACCGTGGGGCTAGGGGAACCCAGGGTTCTTAAACCGCTGGCACTGCAGAGTGAAGGCAAGTTAGTGCTGTCGCGCTCGCGAGCGAAGGTGAGCTCCGGGAGCTCGAGGCGGACTGCTAGCCGAGGAGTCTGCACCCAGCATCCACAAGCCCGACCCTGCGCTGATGAGCACTTGGTTCCGATGGGATGGACCATCTTGTGGCTGCTTCTCCTGGCGCAGGTGGGTCTGCACGGCTGGGGGTTCGGGGCAGGGAGCCGGTAGGGAGCGTCAGACAGGGAAGCCTCCCAGAAATGCACGGCGCGAGGCCAGAGCACTAGGTTTCCCAGACCAGGTTTCGACCTGCTCTCAGAGGTACAGCCTGCCCCAAGCGGTCCCCTAGTCCCGGCCGGCCGCCCCGACCCCGTCCGCGCTGAACGGGAGCCGGTCAGCGCCCTGGAAATGTGGCCAGAGATGACTCGGCGGATGGTGGGGTTCCCTTAAACAAACGGGACAGCGCCTGGGCTTTTTGCTGGGTGGGGAGGCTGTCCGACTCTAAGCCTAAGTGGGGTGGAACTGGCTGACACACCCCCGGGCAGGGGGTCGGGACCCAGTGGGAATTACTCTGTGAACACATCGGAAGCGGGCCAAGAGGGTTGCCTGTTTAGTGTCCAGGTCCTTCTTGTCTCGAGCAAATAGTTGAACAAGACATGCAAAAGAAAAAAAAAGTGACAAAAGTTTATTTCAAAAGTGAAGGTGGAAGGGAAGGAAGAACAGACTCAGCAGAGGGAGCTGGGGCCGAACAAACGTAAATAAAAACAACAAACATAAAAGTACACACACCCTAGGGAAGACAGGGTGGGCTCTCGTGAAGAAGCACGATAGATGGTGAGCTCTTTGGGATGTCCCGTCTAGATCTCAATGCTTTGCAACGTGTGCCCTTATTTTCTGGGATACTGTCGTTTTTCAGATTTATATTTTATAGTGAAAATTTCTAATTTCCTTCTTTGTTGTGTATTCTTCCACGCATCACGGGAACCAAGAGAATTTTTACATACCGGGTCCTGAGATTTATTTGGCGCGTGTCTTGATACCCCGTAATGAACAAGTCTGGCTTCTTCACCCAGCCAGCCTTGCCAAGCCCTACATTATCTTCCCGATTCACGGGATCCGGTTGAAGCTAGCAGTAGCCAGTAAAGGTCCTAGCCCGGCCCTTGGGTCAGGACGGATGGGGTGCAGGGACAGGGCCTGGCCCGTGGGGCACACATCTCGGGTGCCCAGGAGGGGTCATGGGGTTGGGCTAGCCACCTAGAGGGGCGGGGCCAATTGTGCATGATCAGGGCTGACTGAGACTGGCAGGGGCTGGGCCAGGGGAGCTGGAGAGGGATGATAGACTGCATTTAGGCCATTGTATTACTTCTAGATGCCTTAGAACTTGTGCCCTTATTTTCTGGGACACTGTCATTTTTCAGATTTATTTTATAGTGAAAAATTCTAGCTTACTACTTTGTGGGTATTCTACAGCTATTTTTCTCTGTTGCATTTTTACAAATTACATTTATCATCCTAAAAGTAGAACAGCTTCATTGTAATTTGTGCCAATTTAATGGCAATAGCATATGCAAATTCTGCTCCCAGACCTAGAATAGCAAAGGCAATTCTGGACCACAAAGGCAAGGCAGGGAGCATCACAAGCCCTGACTTGAAATTATACTATAAAGCTACTGTGATAAAAAATAGCATGGTACTAGCAAAAAGCAAAACAAACAAACAAAAAAAAACAGATCTGAGAATCAGTGGAACAGATTAAAAGATGTAGAAGAAACTCTAGACATACTCAGCCACCTTATTTTTGACAAAGGTCCCAAACACATTCACTGGAAGAAAGATAGCCTCTTTAATAAATGGTGCTGGAAAAACTGGCTCTGCACATGCCCAAGATTGAAATTGGACCCATACCATTCACCATGCACTAAACTAAATTCAAAATAGATCAAAGATCTAAATATTAAAACAGAAACATTAAATCTGCTGGAAGATAGAATAGGTAAAACTCTTGAAAACATTGGTGTAGGCAAAGACTTTGTGAATAAAACCCCAATCACATAGGAACTATCAGAAAGAATCAACAACTGGGATCAAATCTTATTAAAAAGCTTTGCACAGCAAGAGAAACCACCAACAGAGTGAAGAGACAACCCACAGTGTGGAAAAATATTTGCCAGCTATTCCTCAGACAAAGGACTACTACTGAGAACATATAAAGAGCTCAAAAAAAGTCAGACCTCCCAAATTTAAAGACCCAATCCAAAAATGGGCATCTGAGATGAATACACACTTCTCAGATAAAGAAATACTAATGGCAAATAGATACATGAAAAAATGTTCA